GAGAGAGAGAGAATGAGAGACAGAGAGCATGAGAAGGAGGAAGGTCAGAGGGAGAAGCAGACTCCCTGCTGAGCAGGGAGCCTGATGCGGGACTCCAGGATCATGACCTGAGCCGAAGGCAGTCGCTTAACCAACTGAGCCACCCAGGCACCCTGACCATTTATTTCTTGAAGATCATTGGCATTTGTAGAATTTCTCATAGTCTGGATGTAACTGATGTGACATTGAGGTGTTGGGTAACATGCTCCTCTATCCCTTGTCTTCCCTGTAAACTGGTAGTTAGATATGGAGGCATGATTAGATTCAAATTCACTTTTTAAAATTGAAGTATGATTTATGTACAATAAGATAAACAGATCTCAGGTACATAGTTGGCTGTTTTGACAAATGCATACATTCGTGTCCTACACTGCATCAAAATGTTAAAGCATTTCCATCATTCCATAAAGTTCCCTCTCTTACTTTCTTTTGATCACTTCTTCCCTCAGTGTGTGCAAATCAAGTTATACCTACCAAGCACAGTTGAAGATTTTTACCATCTGTTCTAGCCTTGCCTTGCCCATGGGTATTTTAGGTATTTTAGTACTTTGGAAAGGTTGCTTTCTCACTAAAAATACTGTAGAGAATCCTGCTGTTGTCCATACCAACTCTTCTTCTCACGACCATGCAACATGTTTTCACTGGCACTTTACATCAGGATGATTTCTGTTGCAAGTAACAAAAATTGGGATCCAAATTGGCTTAAATAATGAAGAGAATTCACTGGCTAATATAACTGAAAATTCTAGATGTAGATCCTGGTTTCAAGTGAAGCCTGCTCTAGTGACTCAAAAATATCACCAAGGGGCTGGCTTTTTTTTTGTTTTGTCTTTCTCCTCTGCCATCTGTTGGGTCAACTTCATATTGTATTTGGGTCCAAGATGGCAGCCAGTGCCTCCTAGGACTGCATGCTTTCTCAGTCATGCCTGGCAAGGAAGAGAGACTATATTTTTCCTCGAATTCCTAGCAAAAGTCATAAGATTTGCCCTGATTAGGCTCAACATAGGTCACATACCCACTCCTGATCCAGTCAGCTGCTTACCTCTGCACTTGGGAGTAGAGTCACCTTCCCCAGAACAACATGGATCTCCTAAATGGAAATCAGGAGCTAATGGTGAGGAGGCAACCACAAATGACTGCTTTAATCCTGTAAGCCCCAGAAGCTTCCATGACTGGGGCTTGCCTGCCCCGACCCCATGCTTAACCCTCCCTCAGTCCCTCCTTGCCAGCCACCCTGAGATTTCTCTGGAATTTGGTAACTGTATTCACTCTGAGCTTGATGTTTCCAGCTGGGAAAAGCGCACAGACCCCCGAGGCAGGTTTTACTATGTGGATCACAACACTCGGACCACCACCTGGCAGCGCCCCACAGCCGAGTACGTGCGGAACTATGAGCAGTGGCAGTCCCAGCGCAATCAGCTCCAGGGCGCCATGCAGCACTTCAGCCAAAGATTCCTCTACCAGGTGAGAGGGCAGGGGCTCGCCACGACGGTGTGGAGCCTCCTGGCGCCGGAGAGTGTGCTTCCTCACACAGTAGCCGTTGACCTGTTTGGTGAACGGGGAAAGCCGTGGCTCGAAACATCAGTGCTCTGGAGATTTTACGCATCGCCGTGAAATTCCTCAAATTCCATTATTTCTGATTTAGCAACTCACTGTCTAGCCTCCGTGTTTAAGGAATCGAGATACCTGAAACCCAGTTTACCGTCTTTCTGCCGAGACTGGATCTCTTTCCTGGCCCCTCCTTCCACGCTCATTTCTAATTTGAAACCTGAAGGTCAGCTGTGATCTCTCCCGTACCTCAGCTTTTCAGAACAAAACAGCCACCCAAATCCTTTTCATTGCTGCTATTGTTTTTCTTTAGATCTTTCTTGTTTGACAGATTCTCAAGGATAGAGGGACCTTTAAAATTGATGTGAATCAGGGCTTGGCAAACTATGGTCCATGGGCCAGACTGGCCCACACTTTGTTTTGTAAATAAAGTTTTATTGGCACAGAAGCACTCCCAGTAGTTTAGATATTGACTCTGGCTGCTTTTACATTGTAACAACAGAGTTGAGTAGTTACAGCAGAGACCATATAGTCTATAAAGCTTAAAATATTTACTGTCTGGCCCGTAGAAGAAAAAGTTTATTGACCCTTGATCTAGTTCAACTTCCTTCTCTCTGATTCCTAATTTTTCTCTGTCCCTTCCAACTTAGCAATTAGGGCAGCCTCTGAGTTGTTCTCTCTGTTGGCATTGCTCTCTTCTCCGATCTGTACTGCCTGTTCCCAGCAGAGTGGTCTTCAGATGTCACTGTCACTTGATCACTTTTTAAAAGTCACTATGAAGGATTTAAGGAAGAGGGGCTTTGGTCTGCATTTATCACTGCCATTTTATTTTTTTATTTTTATTTTTTTTAAAGATTTTATTTATTTATTTGACAGAGAGAGACACAGCAAGAGAGGGAACACAAGCAGGGGGAGTGGGAGAGGGAGAAGTAGGCTTCCCATGGAGCAGGGAGCCCGATGCGGTGCTTGATCCCAGGACCCTGGGACCATGACCTGAGCCGAAGGCAGACCCTTAATGACTGAGCCACTCAGGCGCCCCTATCACTGCCGTTTTAATCACTGGCTTGAAGCTTTTTGTAGTCATTATCGACAGAACAGCATTTAAATTTCCTACTTAACAGAATTCTGAGTGCTAGGGTCCCAGATTAACTGTCTAATGGCCTCCTGTACTGTGTCCCTTCAGGAGCCCTCCTAGCCTCACCTTCCATCCCATTAGAGCCTCCACCAGTGACCTGGTGGCTGGTGGAACCCAGCCACACAGCCTCTTTGGTAGGGATAGGAGGATTCCCAAACTGGAACTCTGCATATTCTCAGGGCACCTTGAACATGAAGCTTGGGATCTCCCTAGAATTAGAGCAGGTGGTGGATTAGAGGCTGGAAACTTTTTGACCTGGTCCACAACATTGAATCACCGTGCTTAGTCAACATTATTTCTATTCGAAATAAACTCTAAGCCCACAACCCATTTCTAAATTAGATACTTTCCTAGTTAGATGCTCAGAAAATCTTTAATTCCGTTTAACCAAGTAGCATTCATTATCAACTTTGTTTGCAGCTTTTTCTCTGCTAACCCAAAGCAGGAGCTACACCATCAATCATAGAGGATGGTGTCATCCCCCTGGGCAGGCCTGTCTCCTCTCCTCTCTGTGGGGGCTGATGCTCATCATATAGCGAGTAAACTGATGAGGAACCTCAGTTTCCTTAGTATGAATGAACAGAAAGCACGATGTTTGCCACATTATGTTGTGTCGAGGTCAGCTGGAATGCCTGTCTCTAATCCATGCCCTGGGGGTTCTTATGCCCAGCTTGCACTCCACAGCCCCTTTCACACTTGCCTGGCATCCACTTCTGGCATGTTTCAAAACTGGGTGGAATCCAGTCATTCTCTGCATTTCAGAAATTGTTCCTCCAGAGCTAGGCCCCAAAGACTTTACCTACTCTTTGGGTGGTCGTGGCTATAAAACTAGGAAGGTCCGGGCATTTCTGGCTTTTGACCTAGAGACAAGGACACGTTCTAGGAGTCTCACAATCATTTTGTCTCCCTGCTTACTCAGCTTCTCTAATTTCAAAAAAAAAAAATCTCTTAAAGAAATCTTTTTTGCTTTACAATGCATCAGATATGTCCTGTCGGTTGACTGAGATGTTTGGTGTGTGAGAGGGCAGGTTCTGGAGGTCAGATTCACTTGGTCTGTTGGAACATCCACTTCTCCGGCCCACCTCTATCGCTCTGGCAGCGTCATCCCGGGCACGCAGAGGTTGAACTTCACCTTGGAGGGTCCCGTTGAAGTAAACATTTTTTTTCTTGAGTACTCCAAACTGGTTTTCTCAGCTTGGCTGGGATTCAGGAGGGTTCTGGATGGAGGTGATTGTTCCCTTTTCTCTGTGAAACAAGATTCATATTGAAAAACGTGTTAGGAATCTTTTTTGGGTCAGCTTTCAATGTCTCTCTGTTGACTTCCCTCTCCCCTGGATTTGCTTTGCCCCTCGTTTGCTACGGTGCCATGTCCTGGTTATAAGTAAGAAGAGTCGCTTTCATACAGTTCTTTTGGGGTTTGGCCTTGGCCCAGGGTTTGACTCGGAAGACTTAAGAGCTGATACTGTACCAGCGGCTTCCCCTCCTCCTCCTCCTGCTGCTGGGCTGAAACCAAGACCTCGTTCTTCTCCACTTGCTCTCGAGAGAACACGAAATGCAGTTCAAGATGGAAGCCAGGGGAACCCCACATCACAGTCTCCCACAGTTCCTTCCTGCCGTCTGCCTCATCACACACGTTTTTCAGTTTCTCTTATTGTTCCCTTCTTTCTTTCTTTCTTCCTTTTTTTTTTTTTAAAGATTTCATTTATTTATCCGACCGAGACATAGAGAGAGATCACAAGTAGGCAGAGAGGCAGGCAGAGGGAGGGGGGGAAGCAGATGCTCCCCTGAGCAGGGAGCCCGACGTGGGACTCGATCCTAGGACCCTGGGATCATGACCTGAGCTGAAGGCAGTCGCCCAACCGACCGAGGCCACCCAGGCGCCCATTGTTCCCTTATTTCTGATATGCTTCCATTTCTTAAGGCCCCAGCGTGCCTTTGTTTCTTGTGAGCATCATGTACATACTTGTCTTCTGCCCTCACAGTTTCGCTATGCCCGCTCTTCTGTGATCCTGCTGCGGTTCCATGGGGATGTCCGCCCATTAGAGTACATTGTGCCTACTCCTGTTTCCAAGGCACTCCCATTACCCCAGCTTTGGTCCTCCCTTAAGAACCACAGTCTGGGGGTGCCTGGGTGGCTCAGTC